AAAAAAAAAGAACATCAGATATGATAACATTTTTGAAACAATTCTCTTCTTGCATTCCTTAGCATATATGTATGTTTAAAAACAAATTATTAGTGACGTAAAGTGTGATGCATTGAAACGTATCTTAAAGGTAAAAATATTTTTGCTTATTACAAACAATAAAATAATTTTTATTAAATAAAGAAATTCTGAAAAAGTTCAAAAAAATAGCCGAAAATTCTATTCTTTTTTTTTTTTTGAAATATTTAATCAAATAATTTTCAGTTCTTTGACAATAAAGAGAGGGAAAGAAAAACATTTAAAAAAAAATCTTTTTAATTACAAATTAAAATGAAAATGAAAAATGAAAATAGTCATTTCTCTTTTTTTATCTTTGTTTTTTTTTCTTTTTCAAGAACGATAAATATCGCGAAATGAGACAAATGCTGTCTGATTATTTCTCGTATATGAAAGTTTTGCATTGCTGATAATAGTGAGGACAGTGATGATAATAATGATAATATTAATGATAGTAATAACGATAGTTATGATGATAATGCTGATGTTAACGATAATAAAACGATCATTATCGAAAGAAAAAAAAGTTTATATAATACTAATGATGAAATTCCTGTATCAGAACGGATTCGTTTGTTAAAGCGAGTGATTTATTGAATTTGGATATTTATATAATTGAAGCAAAATAGCGAATAAGCGTTAGCTCAAACTTGAGTGATTAAGCCGTAACTAAACTGTGACTAAAAGAAACTATTAACTCGTCTAAGCAAAACTCAAACCTTATATAGTAAAGTGAGTTTTAAGAATACAACACATTGGGAGGGGGTCAATATGATAATTATACACATGAGGATTGGTGAGGTCAATGAGATATTGGATGCGCCAAAAGGAATATGAAGGATATATGATAAGATAAATCATATAAATGACATAACAAAAGATTATAGTGATGCGAGAACCTCAAGTACGGTAACTAATTGGATTGTTCGGTGCAAAGATTATTTTTAGTGGAATTTCGAGCTTGTTCTCGACATCCTGCTCTTCCAAATGCTATAATAACTTTTTAAGTTTAAGTACCCTGTGTGAAAGCAAATATTCGAGTATAATAAACATCTTCACTTTCTCCTCCTCTATCATCTACCTTTTATTTTATTTGAAAGAAAAAAAGAGGAAAATAAAATAATTTATTTTATTTGCAATTTTAATAAAACAAACAAATTTTATTGACTGCAATTACTAAGCTAATAAAATTATATATGCTATATGTGCTTAGTTATTTATAGAATAATTGATAAATTTAAAATTATGATGAATTTGAAATCGTTTTGTTGCTACCATTTCTGCTTTTTCCATTTCTATACAACATACAATACCATTTGTTTTGCATTAATTCTGAACATATTTTTGAAATAATTTGTTGCCTGCAACAAATTTTAATCCATTGCTAATAATAATTTAAAAAACTACGATATTACAAATTATATGAATTATATGAATAAATCATAAATGAAGCAAAGAAAATTTTGATGAACATGAAAATAAAATACACAGGTATCGCTATAATATATCATTGTTGAAAAAGAGAAAAATGAATAATAATAAATGGTAATATTCGTTGTACGTGACAAGAAATAAACAAAATGCAATAGTATGTATGCATATATGTAAAAGAATTGTAAATTGTAATAATATAAAAGTGTAAAATTAAAGTTGTAAATGAAGGAAGGAAAAAAGAGAGAGGAAAAAAAACGAAAGAAAGAAAGAAAATTTCGAATTTCAGATTTATGGCATTGAATTATTTGTTTTTTTTTGTCAGTAATTTAATGTAATGTGTAAATTAAAATACATACGTGTCTCACTCGTAACTGCCATATCAATCGTCAGCATGTAACAATTTAAAAAGTGTAAATTACGGAGATAAAATAAAATGTTAAATAAATTGAAAGTATAAAATATAGAAATATCAAATGTAAAACTTCTACAATTTGATTAATTTATAAAATGAAATTTAATTAATTAATAGGTGAAATTGCAGTTTGTTCATTTATTCATTCTAAAATAAATAACTTTCAATCAATATTTTGCTATTGTATTTTCCAAATAATAATCTTTATACCTTCAGTTTTTATCATTTTCTTTTTTTAATTTAATATAATTGTTGTCAAGCAAAAGAATCAAAAAACAGGCTATAATGTTTTTTTAAAGAAAATATTTATCATATAGTAATCATATAAGCGATATTACTATCATTTAATAAAATCCATAAAATAATTAGCAATTAAAGAATAAAAAGAAATGATCAAAGTTTAGTTTCATTTGGTCTTCATCAAAGATTATCAAATGATTAGATTTCTACGTCTTGAATTATTTCCCAAAGTTTGTCAACTAAGAAGATGATGATTGAGAGCCAAATGGAAGAGATCCAAATCACGTACACTTTTCACTTTCCATAATGGAATATTTTCCTGAAAAATAAAAACGATTAAAAATGAAAAAAACCAGCTAATAATACTTAACATTTATTAATGCTGCGCATTTTATTGCACGTATTGCGTTTAATGCAATACGTGCAATAAAATGCTAATTAACATGTAATACATATTAAATAGCACGTATTCATGTTTTATTTATACGTGTTCCATCATTTGTGTTCAACGTGTTTTATGCAGTTAAAGTAAAAAATAGCAAAACATGTAGAATTTAAAGTTAAAAAACATATTTGTACATTTTGAAATAAAATTAAAGAACATATTACGTGATAGATATTAATTAGAAGAATTAATTAATGGTTGTGATTAAACCATTGATAGCAGTATTTGAAATGTTTACGAAGAAATTTTTGAGAATTTCGTGGAAAAATAATGGAAAGAGAGCAAAATTTGGATTAATTGGTTTATTTGATTTCATATTTTGTTTTCAATCATCTCTTACTAATTAGTAAGGCTTTTACATTAAATAACCAAATATATATGGGTTTAAATTGTGTCCTAAATTTTCAACCATTCAGAAAATTTACATTAATTTTTGAAAAGAAAAAGAAAAAAATTGAGATGATTTTTTTTCTATCATAATGAGCGAAAATTTCAAAGAATTTATTGCAATAAGTCAGAATCTTCCATATTCTCTCCTTTCTCATCTCACATTCTAAATGTTTTTCCGTCTTCATTGTTGTTTGCTGCTTCCGATGACATTTCATATTTAGCACAAAATTGTTTCTTTCGAAAAGATTTTAAAACTTAAAAATTTATGAAAAGAAATGACCTTAAATAGATTTTTTCTTGATGAAAAAGAAAATTGCCATTGACCTTTGGTAATTTATATCTCTTGACTGAACAAGAATACAATTAGCAGCACCTCCACCATTTCGCCTTGCTTACTTTCTCCTCCCCAATTGAACCGGAAGAAAAGAAAAAGCGATATTTATTAAATTAATTAGAAGAGTGAAAAAAAAAGATGGTGAAAATATTCATAGAGGAAAATGTTTGCCACTCTTCTTGGTCGAAAAGCCAAAAAATTGCAACATCGTCGTAAATTTATTTCATATTTTCCATTTTTATTTATATCTTTTCAATTTTCAACATTTGTTTTCACAGTTTTCTTCAGTTCTTTGTATTCAATCATTGCTGTTTTCTTTTTCATCGCAAAATTTTCTTCTCTTTCATTCTTTTAAACGTGCAATATCGAAATTACTTCACTTTAACCATTTCTATTAGAAATTACTTCAAATGAATTTATTTAGAGGAAATTTTTTTGTATAAAATTCGTTGAGCTAATATGACAAAGCAGTAAGTGATAATTTTTTTTTTTTAAATTTGGAATAAAAGAGATGTTTTTGAATGCAAAATTTTTCGGAATTGCTGAAAACAATTTTACTTTAGAAAAAAAATCCTATGTGAAGTTTGTTGCCCTTTCTAAAATTGGAAAATTAGGCAAATTAATGTCTCGCAAATAAAATTTCATAAAAAATGTTATAAAAAAATTTACAGGAAATTCAGAAGTTAGAGGAAATTTTACGAAATTGATAAATTGGCTGTGGTAGACTCGTTTATCACAGTTTTAAATTTGCTAACTGAATATAAGTAAACATTTTGCTCACACTCTCTCATATCAATTTTAATCTCAAAAAATCACCTATACCTAAATACATCAATTTAAAATTGTATGATTAGGAGATTAAAATTGGTAAATCAATTTCAGAATTAATTAAATTAGTTAATAGGCTAAATTTAACACTTCATCATGTTAAAAAATATCGATATATTAATCGATATATTCAATCATATTTATATCACTTTACGAATGATGATCTTTTGTCAGCCTATGTTCTAAATTTTATTTCATTTAAGTTAAAATGCTTCAATATTGTTGAAAATTACTATTTGTTTTTTTATGATTGTTATTAATAGCTATTTATCGCTTTTCTCTCTGTAAGACTTTTTCTTACAGTAATTTTACGATTGTCTATGATAATTCCTTTTTCACAGTGATTTATTGTAATGACTTTTTTTCATAACGATTCCTTATAGTATTACAACAAATTTTTTTGATTTTATTAAAAAAAAAAATTAATTTTTGTACTTTGCTCATTGTTCATTTAACTGTGATATATCATCACGCTGATATCTTACTGATATCATTTCTTTCATATTTTTTTTTTTGGTATATTCTCCCATTTAGTTCACTTCTCTTTGTAATTATCCTGTAAGTATGTCCTGTTCTGAGTTTTTTCTTATACTTAAAATTCGAAAAAAAATTCCCAGAAATATTTCGAAATTTCGGATTGAAACAAAACCGAAATGTTTAGAAATTTGAAATGGAAAAAGAAAAGAATTAAAAAAAAGATGATAGAAATCAATAATGAAAATATCGTTGTGCAAATACTATTAATGTAATTTCAGTAATGCATTAAAAGTTCAATATTTCATCACCTTAATTTGTCCAAAATTTACAAATAATTATTTTTTCATTACTGTATATAGCGATTGCATTTTCATATTTCACATTTTCGTTTTAAATTTATTTCATACATTAAATTGCATTAATAATAATTGATGCATTGATTAAAAAAAATTAAATTAGCTATATAGTTATTATCCTCTTTCCTTATTAATTATATCATTTGATTGGTCTTTGAAACAATTATTCGTATTGATAAAATTTAAAAAAAAAAAAAGAAACAGAAGTAAATAAATAAATACTAAAGGAAATGAATAATCGAACCTTTTTTGCAATTTCATGTGTGTCGAGATGCGTTGATATGATAACAAAAGAGCATTTTTTTCCAAATTGGCTCAAAATTCGATCAATTACCGCTTCTTTACCAATTTTCATCATACTATAAACATTCTCTGCCGGTATCATTGAACTTTGCTCCATAATTAATAATTTAGCTAGTGTTGAGACAATATTTTCGCCTGTTAATAATACATTCGCATAATGCTCTCGAGATGATCTATAAATTAAATTGAATTGATTTGATTCATTAAAAAAGCTTTTTTTAAATTAAACTAAACTAAAAAAACAAAAAAAATCAATTGATTCTAACTGATAATTTCTTTAATTGAATTTAAATTGAAACAAATATTTGATACATTACTGCTTATCATTTCTGTGAAAGAAATCGTTCGGGAATATCAATTATTTAACTTTATCGCAAATTACATCTATCACTAATATTGTGCATTTATATTCTTTTAATGTTGACAGTTCCGAAAGTTTTCGTACAATCAATCCATTTTGAATGTTTCATTATGGAAGTGTATTAAGACAGATTCCGGAAAATTGGTGAGTTAATGATGAAAAGGAAGAGGAAGATAGAGTTATATGAAAGAAATAAGTTTTATGGCTTTATTAAAAACAATTAAATTTAGATTAAATTAAGTTCTGGAATCAGGAAACGGAAAATGATATATACCTATCGATGATGAGTTTCAAACATTGTCCAATACTTTCTCCCCAGCCTTGAGTTAACGGATCCATTGCTGATTTTAACGCTAATAGTTCAGCTCGTTCTGTATTTCCAGTCCGTTCCAAAAGACCTGAAAAATGAAAAACCTATTTCTCAGATTTGAGTTTTAAAACTTCTAATTATAAAATTTTCGAAAGTCAAGATTACATTTAGGCTAAAATTAATTAAATGAAATTAACTCAAACTAATTGAAAAAGCATTATTTTACAATCATAAATAATTTTAAAATTTATTCCACTGGCGAAATTTTAAATTCAAATTTCAAATAGCTATTCTCAATGGTTTACAGTGAACAATCACTTAATTCAATTCAATAACGTACAGAAGTTCGATTAAAAAAAAAAAAATTTCAATGAAAATATATGTAATTTATTATTCTTTTCTTTTTTTATTTTCACTAATTTATTTTTTTCGAAAAAAAGTGAAATGTTAAATTTCTTTGTATTTTATAGGCAATCTCATAATTGAATAAATTCAAATATGCTATTTGTAAATTCACTTTTTAATATCAAAATGAAAAAAACAAAAAACAAAAAACCAAACCAGCGAAATTATCCTTATATGAATTATAAGTATCTTTTATGTGCTGATATTTCGCAGCCAATTTCCTCATCCAATCTACACCTCCACGTGCGTGACCTAATAACGATGATTCCTGGTTACTCATAGTTGATGTACTTGGCGTATCAATATTAGTTGGTGTATATGTTATGTCATCAAATGTATCATCGATATTGGCATCTTCGATATTCACATATTCACAATCTTGCTGAAGAAACGAGCAAACTGAATAATTTGCATAAAAATTATCCGATGCACCAAATATGAATAATCTCGGCACACTTACATCATCTTGATCAGTACCAAAAATGGATGCAATTAATCGATCAACGTTATTATTGATCGTTTGTGCTAATCGTTCATTACGGATCGGATCATTGGATCGAAGGAAAAAATTAGATAATACACAAACATCTTCCATTTCCCATATAAATGCACGCTTATATTGCTTTTCCGGACTGCTTATACTGCCCGGATTTTTCTTACGTTTTGTTGCTTTATCTTAAAAAAGAAGAACGAATAATTGTTTTTTAAAAATTTATGATAATATGAAAAAATCATTACGTTAGATTCTTATATTTATGAATTTCGGTTAAAATTGAGAAATTAAATAATTTGGGGTAATTAATTACTATAAAACATTTTTCCTATTTGTAAAATTTAAAATACATTCATTAATAACTGAAATAAATTTGCAGCAAAATTTTTTATTTTTATACCTTTTGTACTTTAATAGTTTTTAAGACAAGCAAATCAACCATTCTGTGATTTTGCTATTACTATGAATTGTAATCACATAATTCTACGATTTTATGAATTGTGGTCAGATAATTTTACGATTCTATGAATCATGATCAGATAATTTTACGATTCTATGAATCGTGATCTACGATTCTACAAGTCTATCGTAACATTGTTAATTTATAAGCATTTTACAAATTTATAGTTATGAATGAAATTTCATACATTACTTTTTGAAGATTACAATTTTAAAATCACAAAATGAATTTTAAATTATAAATAGCACCTACTTGATCGCTTCGTTTCATGTTTTGTGGTAAAAGATGACAACTGATTGGATGTATTCATATCATTTGTTAATGAATTCATTGCCTGAAATAATCATTTTTTGCTTTCAGTCTATCTTTTTGAAATAAAATTTCCAATTTTTGTTACAAATTTTCTTGCAAATTTTACATCTGATCCAAAAGTGACAAAAATAATCAAATTTTGTTGCACTGATCAGACTACCGATTACAATCTCGAGTTATCTGATCTTGACATCATTAGGATATTAACATAATGCGCGTAGTTTACGTGAACATAAATTATTGATTTTTCAAGTCGATCAAAAAAATGTTGAAACATTAGGAAAAAAATTGTTTATGGCTATGATTGTTAGCACCACTGGTAAAAACGAAAGTGAGCTTGGAGATATGAGGAATCGAACCCCAGCCCTCTCCCATGCTAAGGGAGCGCTCTACCCCTGAGCTATATCCCCAGCTATCCATTTAAAAATTGCAATAAATTTAAAAAAATGAATTTTTTACTGGAATGCATACAGTATTCTTTAATTAGCAAAGCTTAAATACAACGACAAATTTTGCTTAATAATTTTGTGTCAATTTTACTTTTTGAAATTCAATTTCAAAATAATTTTTCTCTTTTAATATTTGTATTCAAATTTCAAATTTAATACGAACGTTGAACAATGAAAAAACAATAAATCGTCTCTTTAGACTAATTTCAGAAGGAAGAAATTAAGACTTGGGGTTTTTCATATTTTCAAATTATAAAATTATTTAGGAAATATTTTAAATCAAATTACATGTGCAAATTTTGGAATTGCTATCTAATCACTTCCTGAGACTTTTTTGAAATCACATTTTTGATTAGAATATTTTTTTGACATTTTATTAAAAAATTTTCAATAATATTATGGATTTTGCTTTACCGATATCAATCATAGCGATATCTATCGGTGATATTATCAATTCTTGTTAGCTTGCAAATCGAGAAGAATTCAAAAAATTTACATATAAGGATGAATTTGGTGAAACAGGATTGATGGAACACCCGTAGTAACCACTTCGACCTGCGTAACAGTGCATTGCTGCCGGATAAGATGTATAATCAAAATGAGCCGATGGATAACCATTACCTACAATTTTATATTTCAAGAAAAAAAATTCTAAATAATGAAATTTAAACTGAATTTTAAATATAAGTGGAAAATGAAATTAGCAAGCTTTCAGTAAATTTTTTTCTTCCTGGAATTTATTTGAAAAAAATGCTAAAATCATTGATATGATCATGTTGAGAAGGATTACAATTGCCATCATAAATAAAAGAGTTTATCGTGAAATAAATGAGTTTTGCGAAGTTGATATGGAAAATTGGTAAAAGATAATGAAGCATTCTCATATAAGAAACTTTTTAAATTCTAACTTACAATTTTATTGCCAAATACGAAAATGAAATTTTTTGAAGTTTAATTCAATTTTTTAACTTTTAGAATTTTGGATTTAGTTACTGAAAATTATTTTGCTAGCAATTACTTTGCTATGATTCATTTGCTATTTCTCTTTCATTTCCCATTCTCTTTTAATAATTTCCGAGAATTAACTGCAACAGTTATTTGATTATTTTATTTTCAAATCGCGGAATGGTTATATTCTATTGTTTTTTCCGAGAGATAACAAGAAGAGAGAGAGGGAGAGAGAGAGGTATACTTGCATATACTAACAATATTTCTGATATTTGAGAAATAGCTCTTACGAGGTTATTACCATAATAGGCGTGGGATGCAGCAGCAGCAGCACCAAACGGAAATGACGTAGCTGCCGCGGCGGCGGCGGCAGAACCACGTAGTGAAGATGATACGACGGGATAATAATTTTGTGTTCCACTAGCAGCATACATTCCAGCATAATTTGCACTCGAATAACCACTGTTGTAATACGGTGTAGCACTAATTATGCGAGAATCTGCAAATATTTAACCGTTGATTTTTAAAAATTGAATGAATTTTTTTAGCCGCCAATTTAATGCAGTACGAATTTATTGTCGCTGTTGAAGTTTATTTCTATCAGTAAGGAAACAATGTAATTTTGATATGATAAATGGTAAAATAACAATGCAATAAATTTAAGAAAAACAGTTGGTTAAAATTTGTAATGAAGAAATTGTTGAAAATAATATTATATTATTAATTATAGATTGCTACATTTTTCTGCATCATATTGTTTGATCTCGATCTTTTAACATAACATTGACCACACTGACCTTTTTCATTATTAAACCATATAGTGCTGCTAACGAAAATTTCAATAATTCTAGCCCAATACATTTAATATCTTACCACAAGCGACCGCAGCTGCTGTAGCAGCTGCGGCATCCGACATGGCTGTAAGCGTAACGGGACGCTCAGACAGTGCTGGCATTAAATTTTCCGGTTTTACACTACCCGGTAACTGTGCTAAACCAAATGATGCACCAAAAAATGTTGTCGATGAAGTTTCCAAATTTCCTGATGATTCATGACTGAAAGTATCGGCAAAAACAGAAAATTTTGTCAAAATTAAAAAAAAAAAAATTGACAAAATCCTTTAAAAAGAAGTTCTTACAAATGTTTTATCATAATAAAAAAAATGTGCAAAATATTTAATGTTTGTTGAAAAAATCATACACACAAAACAAATTGACGAAACTGTTTTTTCTTTTGCTTAATTTTTAATCCAAAGACTTTTTTTGCTACTTTCAATTAATCAAAAGACTACGATTTTATCATTTCAATTTTTATCATTTTCCTTTTTCAATGTCCAGACGAATTAAATTTTTTCGAATTAAAAGAAGAAGCAATTGAAATATTCGAAGTTTTTATTAGATCCAATGAAACATAATTTCTTATTTTTTTCTTACCTTACAGTATCGTTTGACGAAGATGAAACCCGAAATGCGCTATTTCTCACCTGAAATTATCGTGCAAAAATGAACTTAAGCATTGAAGCAACGATATTTCGATATTACATCATATTTAATTTCAAAAATTCGGTATGATTTAAATAAAGCGTGGAAAAATTAATAGCATGTGGTGTTTTGGTGTGATATAGACTGTTGTGTTGAAATTTCATCGAATTTTAGGAAAATTGATAGTATCAATTGTTGTGTTACAATGAAGTTGCAATTGCATCAAATCCTAAATTTCAGTATAAATATGTGTTTTAAAAACAAGCATAGTATATACACACACACACACACCACACATACACCACACACACACACACACACACACATACACACACATACACGGACATATACAAACATACAAACGGATAAGTTCCTTTCAGCTGGTTGGGAAAATTTTTTAATATGGAAATTTAATTAGAAAATTTTATAACTAAGTCTAATGCATCATGTATTTGTTATCATACAAAATTTAATAAGCATCAATACTGAAAAATATAGAAATTGTTTTTTTTTTTTGCAAAGTTTGCTTAAGTTTACTTCCTGTAAGAATTCAACTAAAGATATTATAACGTTTGAAATGCAAAATAAATGCCATGAAGGAAGAATGAAAATAGAAAAAAAGGAAAAAAGTAGGAAGAAAACCGGCCGAGAAAAAAATGTGGACAGGTGCCACCGCAGGGGTCCTACGACGCACTACGCTGCAATTAACCTACGACCCCAAACAATCAAGCCTTCTTATCCTAATCCAAAATTACGGCTGCTACTTGTCCATCTATTCATTGCTTGTCCACTCTCTCCTCTTTTTTTTGTCTTTTTCTCTTTGTCCACTATTTTTTT